ATTGCAGCCATTTTGTAGTCATTGAATCTACGTCAGCTCGATCAAGAGATCTCTTGTCTATTTATATATGTACAGAAGAATTACCTATACAGCATCGCAATAACTTAGTAGTCTAATCAGCTATTTACACGAAATCTACAGCTAACATAAGACATTATCATTTATGTACAATTATACTTGGGTCAAACTCCGCTTTTCGTGTAACATGTATCTCCACTGACTTCATCGTAAACTCGTTTTTTACTATACTATTATCTTTACAATATCAGTTACATTGCTTACAGAGGTGTTCTAATTATTAGACCAACAAAGGACAACAAATATTTTTGTAATTAAATAGTAATTGCTCACAAGTACATTAAGTACAATTTTGATGTACAGACTAGGTGCACATTTAATAGCTTATCGCCATTTGTGTGTAACGAGTGTATAGTGATTCAAAGTTCCAAATTTAACAATTCGAAAATTTAATAATTTGGAAATTTGAAAATACACAAAAGCCCGCTTTTATACGGAAGTATCAGATTTAAAAATTTGTAGATTCGGCGGCTTTAATGTAAATAATTTTCTAAGTTTCAAATAAAAAATTTGAATATCTAATAATACTTGCAAGTACGCTTCACTTGTTTCTTCGTGCACCGCACCCGCGCAGTCATAGTAACCCATCACTTACTTATCCGAACAGGTTGACGCGTTAATTACTGCAGTGACAATGTACATGTGTAGTAAGTCACATATCAACACGTGCAAGCCCTGTCCTAGTCAGGTAACAACTCTAACAAGAACTTCGTAAAAGCTTCTTGAAGCGTTGTATCACGATGAAAAAATGAAATAAAAACTGTCCATTATCTACTTGCAATCCTAGGTTGATCATCGCAGACTCATTCATACCTTTTTTTTACAAAATAATGTACTACAATCTAACAAATAAAGCTTTCCATCTAATATTCTCAAATTAAGCGCCATTTGAGCCAATAATGTTCTGCTGTATTACCAATAACTTTTCAATTTTTATCTGGTAGAATCTGGACAGTTATCAATTTAAAAACCAAACACTTAACTATTAAGTCAATATTAAGTACGAAAATATGCATAAGAAGTATTGTTTCTAATGTACAGCCTTATTTGAACGATTTCCTATTAGTAAAACCTTCTTGAACAGGTCATTAATGATTAGTGTAATAGTTTGAACACCTCTGTAGGTCACAAAGTTCGTCAGACTCTCAACGACGTTATCGCGGTTGGATCTTTTGAAAAATGTTTCGGAATCCTGCAACAAGGCCGCACGAGGAAAAAGCATTAGCGAGCACCGCGGTGTGTACGCTGCAATCATCGCTAATTAAACTATCCGCAAGGATCGAAACTGAAATTCTTTCCCTGGTTTCTTCGGGAAATCGTTGATGCTGTTGGACCGCGTTCCACGGACAAGGTTGTAAAAATTTTAAATATGGAGGACTTTTAACACTTTGATGGTCGCATATTTTACGGGATCCACGACTTTCGTAATTTTACGCTCCTTTTCTTGAATTTACGTTTCACAGTTTTTGTGTGGCACGCTGCGTGGTATTATTGCTCGAAGTTTATATTATTTAATAAATATGAACGAAGTAAAAAATAGTTTTAAATATTGACAGTAACCGATAAAGAGTTGAGGTCAGATATTAACCTTTGAACGATATGCGGGTCAACTCAACTGATCGAGATTTATAAAATGGTACTTAAAATCAATCAAATCTTTAAAGTGCCCGCCGTTCAAGGGTTATCACGATCCGTGCTATGTGGATCATTGATAGTCCACAATTTTTATTTTGAATGTGCAATTCTTTTCTATTATTAAAATCAGAGTTGGGCGTTATTCGACTAATCTTTGAATTAGGATTACAAGTAAAATAAAGTTATTCGGAAATAATAACTAAGTTCCTAAAAAAAATTTGTTCAGTGAATGTGTTTCGTTCGTGTAAATTCAAAATTTCATTTCATTTAAATTTATATTCATAGATTAAAAATAACATTTGTTACTTGAACGTAACTATTTGTTCCTTGATTAAATATTTATCCGAAATTTATTCGAATAAAAATTCATTCGTTATTTGCAAATAACGCATTATTCTTTGAGTGAATTCTTATTCAAATAATATTAAATGATTTATCACATAATAATTATGCCCATCTCTAATTAAAATAGATGTGTGCTATAGCGAATCAAAAAAGTATTAAAATATCTCAATTGTTCGTAAAAGATTGAAATTTTATTATAAATTATACGTTGTGGTACTTCAATATTCAACATAACATCGCAAATTCAATATAACACAACATATGTCTTTTTTAAATATGACTGCAGCAAAACATATCGCAATACTTCTTTGATTCACTGTACGTATAATCACAATTTTCTTATAATCGACTACTGGAATACAATTTTATTCTGGTTATCAAGTGATTTGATCGAAAGACTATAATAATAAAAAATAAAATAACACGTATTGATCGGGTTTTGTTCGCAACAAATGCACATACGATATTCTTTTTTTATACAAATATACCGATACATTTGAGAGCAAAGATATTTTGATAAGTATATTATCGTTTCCTGAAGGTCCGATCAGTCGAATAACAAGTTAATTCGGCATACTCGGTTAACACATTGCTGACCACTGAGTGTACTCGTATCTGTACTTCTTTCAATTATTAATGTGTAACGTTTCGTAAATTATTCTAGTATTGCTTATTGTTTTGTATGATGTTTGTTGATATTAATTGAAGGATTTAGAAGTTTCCTGCGTATTAACGCATACGTTGCGTTTTATCAATTATTATAGCACAGTTATTCGTACTAATGTGTTTCTGTTTTCATCGATAATTAATTGTTGGCAAGTCTCCTTCAAAGAAAAGTATTGGTTAACCTGCCTTTGCATATTCTTTTTTTTAGTAACAAAAGAAATACATTTCTAAACGTTAAACAAACACTTTCTATTTAAGAATTGTATTTACAGCTACAATGTTGCAAATTTACCGTATTTGGGAAAATTGTGATATAACTATAATGAAATTACAATTAACTATAATTACAGAAGATAAGAAATGTTTTCAATAATTTTGTTAATTGTAAAATTTGTTGCTTATTTAGGTACTAGTCTAATATTATTTTATATAGCATATTTGCAACAAAATGTAATGAAGTATTAAACAATTTATTATTAGCAATCAATATTATGAAAGCATTAATTGATGGACGCAACGTGTGCGTCAGTAGCAGCGAAAGAATTAATTGTAGATGGACTGCGAATGTTTACGCATTAATGAGACACGGAAACGTATAAGACACATGTTAAACGCGTATTCGATATAATAAAATAAAATCCCGTATTAAATAAATAACCATGCAAACTTGGCGCAGTAAAATAATATTTTGCACTACGTTTTTAAAACTGAATATGCAAGATATCTTACGTAAAAACAGACGATGATCTATATCTTTCTGTAAATGCATAAAAATACAAGGATGTACTACATGCATTTTCAACATCTATTTGTTAAATTTTATTCTACATAAGTAACATTTTCAAAAATTCATCGCTTAATGAATTTAATCGATTTGTATTTTTCCGTACTTAATTCGTATTTATTTTCTGAATAGTTTCACATGAGACATCTTGCATTAGAAAATAGATATTTGAATAAATATCACAATTAATTATGGAAAGAACTGGTCAACAATGTGTTATAAGATTACGTTCTAGTTTTAAATAGTTAACCCAATTAGATCGTGGATGTTTATGTAAATATACATTTTAATAGAATATTTCTGTTCATCTTAATACTTAAATGACTGTTTTAACTTTTGAATGGTCGGCGCCGGGTCGATGGTGACCCAGATTTATGAAAAAAATCGTGGTATTTCGACTAAAGTAAAATACTTATACTAATTCTCAAACATTAGAAGACAATATTTAGAACAATATCAAATTAAAGAGAATTTAAAATAATGTTGGATACAAAATCCGAGAGTTAATTCAAAAATTTTTTCAATATGGATAATAATGAAGTTTTACACGAATTTTCACATTCACAAATTTGGGAATTAAAAAATTTAGAATTATGAAAATTTTATATTTACAAGTATAGAAATTTTAAAAATATAACTGAATACTCAGGAATTTAAAAATATAAAAACTTCTAATTTTTAAATTCCCAAATTTTCAAGTTTAAAGATTTGGTAATTTAATGATTTGAAAGATTGAAAATTTGCAGATTTGGCAATAATTAAAATTAGAAATATAAAAATGAAAAATTGTTAATAACCTGATGATCAAATTTCTAAATTTTTAAACTTAGAAATCTGATAATTTAGAAATTTAAGAATTTGAAATTTTTGCATCTCAATTTTTAATTTGTGAAATTCTACCCATCAACGTCCACGAATAAAATCGCACGCATGTTCGTGCATCGTGGTATTACCCATTATTGCTCTAAACCGTATTGTTTCCATCTTATAATATTCGATACACTATAAATTCATAAACATCCGCAATCTAATTACAAATTATAAATTTCATGAGACGCGGAACGAGTCAACAGCGCTTATAAATTTTCCGAATATCGTACCACTTACTTATCTGTCAATTAACATTGTGGACCACGTGAATCTGGTTCAATCTTCCCTGATTCCATTAGCCTTTAGTAGCTGGATGTCCGAAGAGTACCATTTTCGTCCGGGTCGATGAGCAACAACGCGACATTCGTCATTCAGAAGACTCCGGTTGAAAGAACTGGAAACTTTGAGATGCCCGTTTTGGCATTCTCGTTGGTCGTCTTCGCTCAAAAACGGCGCAAAAGTACCATTTCTCCCGCTAACGAAAGCAGGATCTCTCGAATCTTTTTGTACTTGGTTGGAATGCTTCCACTAGTGCTTTGATCATCTCGAAAAGGTAGTTCCTTATTCATAGATCGTCAGCAGCGTTCAATTTAATCGCAACGAGTGTTCAATCTCGCCTAGTTCACTCCCGCTGCAATAGCTCGTACAATGCTGCGATGTAAGTCTGCGCCATTTGCAGGGTCTCGAACTTGCTAAGTTTTCTGTCGTTACCGAGGCTGGGCACTACGTCTCTGAGTCTGTCAAACGCGTCGTTCAGGCTGTTCATTCTTCTTCTCTCACGCGCGTTCGCCGCCAATCTTCTCTTCCTTAGCACCTCGATCCCCGGAGTGCCATTTTTGATTTTCTGTATAGCGTCTTTCGTCTTCTGACCCGCGTACTCCATCGATGGAACTCGAAGCTCATTTTTTGGATGGTACCTGGATGACTCGCACTTGCTCTGGCCGTTATTCTGAACGTAGTTTTCGTTTCTGTGCACGCTGTACGCGGCTCCCAAATAAAGGATGTCGCTTCGTTGCCCATAAGAATTGCCGTTATTCCTAGCCAAAAAACCGTCACCTTTCGGGACACCGTAACTCTTCGAGGCGAAGTAGCTCTCCTGATTCTGGGCAAATTCGCACCTGCCATTCCCGAACACGTTGCTCGAGTTATGTTCCTTCGAAGAGATTTCCACATTCTGTCTGATCGACGGTGTCTCGTTCGAAAATTCTGTTCGACCTGGTGCACTCTCGTAAACGTTCTCCGCGCACTCGTTCATCCTGAACAACATCTTACCGTGCTCCTTCACGATTCTGGTATTGTTAGGATGACCCATTTGGCAACCTTCTTGATAATAACCCTCGTAGAATTCGGTAAAGTTGAAGCCGGTTGCGGTCACGTGAAAGCTGCCGTTCGGGGCACCGATCTCTTGGTACTCACGATTTTGACAATCGACCGAGCTCACGCTCCCGCAACTGCTACCCCTCGATCTTGGAGGTTGTGGATAGATCTCTGGATGATTCCAACTGCGCGGATTCGATTCTGGGCTACTAGCAGACCCGTAGCCCTCGGAATCTAGCAGGTCGTACTGTTGGAAACTGGTGTATGTGGTCATTCTCGTAAGTCTTCTGGAATCTTCTTCGTATTTGTTCGACAACGCTTACAATCTTGAGATTGAAGGTACCTTCAATCGACTGTCATCTCGTTTGAACGAATCAAACTGACAACAATTGAAATGTTCCAAAATAACGATCGAAATGTTCCAAATAGAAACATTCATTTCCTGCAGAAGTACGGTTGTGTTCTTCGGGTTAGAACATTCTTAGGCTTTGATCCTGTTAGCTGATACCATGTTTTTTTTTCGCTCGATCGAAGGAATTGCAAGGACTCACGGGATCCTCTGGATGACCGTGTATGCTTCGCGTACGGAAGCGTTGCGTAAACTGGCTTTACCTGGCGATCTCGTGGTCTGGACCATGCTGCCCAGTTTTCTTAGGGCCCGATGGTGGGGAGCGAGGACTCCTGAGACCCACGTGGAAGGGATTCCGGGAGAAGTGGAAGGGGTCCACAGGGAAGTGGGCATCTCTTTGTAGAAGCCGCGAGACCGGACACGCCTCTCGTCTTCCTTCGTCTCTTTGCTGGGGGCTCTCAAAGGTAGAGTCAAAAGACGATCGACGTGAAAGAAAGGCGCTCTATCGAGTGGCACGCACAGTCACAGGACAGAGGCGCCGTGTTCTTGACATTCGAGACACAACAGCTAGCCCAGATCAATTTATTTTTGTTAGGGATGGGTTTGTCGAAACGTCGAAACCTGGAAATACAAGAAAGTTTGGAGTTTCAAGAATTCGAAACTTCGCACATTTTTCGTGATTTGAACTTCTCGAAACCTAGATAAAAAATGTATTAAATCAATAAATAAAGAATCGTTCGCAGCGTGCCTTGAGAATATTTAATTGATATATTATATATATCATGCGAACTGAGCAATTTGTTTTTGTTTTTGAGGATATAAGCAGATTGGCGCTCGTGCTCGTAAAGCTGTAAAACGAGAGCGTGTGATGTATATGTATAAATTTAAAAACTTGTATTGAGTCAGAACATAAAATAAGACATTCTTTCTACAAAAGAAAATGACTGCATCACGCTTTGAGAGTTATGAATTTCGAAAGTTTCAAAATTTTTTAAAATTTTTAATTCGAATTTTGAGAATTTAAAAATTCCGTTCGAACCCATTCCTAATTTTTGCCTTTTTCTATCCCATTTGATTCTTTTCCTCGAATGTGCTCGAATTGGGGAACGCAAAGAACCGTGCATTCAGATTATTTTATATTTTTTCTTTTATCAGCTTAATGGAAAGGTTAGCTTAATAAAAGGTTTATTAGGATATTTTGTTTCTTGGAAATAAATAGAAACTTTTTTCAATAAATTGAACGAAATACTTATAGAAGTCTAGGAATTGTAATAAAATTGACTGCTGTATTTAGGACTCTTGAATTAACAGAAATCCTCTGGACTAGAGGTGTGATTATTATTATTGATCCATAATTAATATCGATAACATTGTTATGTTATTGATCATTTGAAATATCGATGCTATCAATAAAGTGCATCGAAGCAAAGTGACTACAGTTTAAATTTCTAAATTTTCAAATTTCCAAATAATTTTTAGATTTACAAAACCCTTGATTTCTCAAATTTTTCAATTTCTAAATTTTCACGTTAACAAATTCCCAAATTCGTAAATATCAAAATCTTCATATCTTCATATTTCAGTTCCTAAAATCCCTAGAATTTAAAAAAATTCTTAAGCTTGTACATACTAAAATTCTCGAATTTTCAGATCTCCAAAATTTTCAGACTTTAAAATTTCCGTCGTCCTAAATTTTCAAATATCCAAGTACCTAAATTTCTATAATTTTAAAATCCTAAATTTCGAAATCTCTGAATTTCTGAATTTTAAATTTAGAGATTTGTAAATTTAGAAATTCTACCTTTATAAATTTGTGGATTTAAAAGTTCCAAATTTGCAAATTTACAAATTTTACATTTCTGATTTATTAAAAAATAGACATGTATATTCTACATATGCAGGATTAACCCACCTAACACTTTTGAATAGTGCAGTATGTAGTCGAATGGTCAGCTTTTTCTTCGGTCCCTTTTTCTTCTTCGCTTCTTTTGTACTTTATTACATTTTAAATACAGAGGGGCAGAGAACTGTGGACAAATACTTTACAAGGGTTAGAGTCATAATCCATGTGTGTTCTTTCTGCAATTTTGCTTCCCGAAACATCTTTGAATCTTCATTGTTAACTCACTATTCAAAATACTTCTATTACAACATTGTGACAGTCGAGCTTACATTAATCATCATTTAAGTAAATATTAACATTACTGATCTTTTTTTTATTACGGGTAAAAAAAGAACACTGTTCTATTATTAATTATTTGTTTCTACTATTATCATTGTATTGTTATTAAATTGGTAAAAATATTATTTAAAATGTTATATAATTTTAACAAAGAATATATACACTACATGAGGAATGCTGCATAAAATTTGTTAAGATGGTTTCTTGAAATATGTATTAATTTTCATCAATGTAAGAAATTAATGTATATACTAACTTGTCTTAGTTATGTTATCCTTTGCTTATTTATTTTTCCGCTTCATTTTTAATTTTAAAGTAAATATGCCTTATACGCCAGTAGGTCCAGTGTTAAAATAACTGTAACTATTCAAAATATTTAGATATTTTTAAATTAATAATCTTCTATAAGTAAATCTTCTATAATGAGGCTTGTGGCACAAGTTCGAATGTGACAAAACTAGATCGTATTTGCATAAAAATAGAGTTTTGAGTTTGATACCAATTATAATAATTGAATATATAATTGAAGATCGCTGTATTCAAAGTATACTTAACATTTTAACGTTCTTTATTTGCCTTAACAGTACAGTAATAATTAGATAGCTCTGACGGGCGCAGCATATTTGTAAACGTGTTTCCTGTTAAATGTTAGAAATCTCATCATCCAATTTTGAGAAGAAATATTAGACATTCCATTTGAAAGACTGAAGGTGAAACAAATGTTTTGCTAAAAGAGTAAGATGATAAAGAACAAATAAATAACTTACGAGTTATTTTAAGTTAGAAGACTAGCTTTATACACGAAGATATAGTAGTGAAAATTAGATACCCAAATTTCGAAACAAAATACTTCCGTATATTGAAAAGCAAAAGTTGTAAAAGAGTAAAATTGAGAATGTATTTAAAATTGAGTTTCAATTTCTAAATTGTACGTTGACTTAAAAAGATGAATTAGATAATTTTCCTTTTTTCTAAGCGGCTTTTTTGGTAAAAATAAGTTTGTTCCTTTAAAAGACAGAAAATTAAATATTTAACAAATAAATTTAAGTTATCATTTTAAAATTCTTAAAAATAATTGAAATTGAAGAATTATATTTTCTATTGCAGCTAACATTGTAGTTAGAGAAACAGATTGACATTTTTGCTTAGCGATTCATTATCGATTACTGTTAATCTTTGAATCATTCACAACTGTTTCTGTGAAATCCGTTTAACGTTCTAACGCCTTAAAGATACGTTTATAAGTACTGTAAATAGCGAAACCAATAACAAGCTGACTACTAGAATTATATAACATGTTTAAAAATAACAGCGATCTAAAGAAAGCGCTACTGTAATTTATGTATCAGGTCATCCCACAAATTCGAGGTATGTTTCGTTTACATTTATTACGACACCTTTTCTAAACAAAAAGTGGTCAAGTATTTATAAAACTACGTTTTGTTATACTAATTTTATTATACGTTACTGTATTCATTTCATTCTAACGCTCATAAGATTTTTGTTTTGATTTTTAATGCAATTTGCAATAATTTTCGAGTATCACGTTTATAAAATTTAAAATACATAAGCTAGATTTACTTTTAGTATATATATTTATCAGTACATTTATAAGTATGTTGAAAATAAAAATTGTTACGGCACCATAAAGAGAAAAATATAAAAATAAAATGTAAATTTATCTTTAGTGTTTGAAAAATTGAATATTTTGATAGCAAATGAAAAATGGTTTTGTGCATAAGATACTGTTGTACACAAAGATTTTTATGCTGTGAATCAGCAAATTATTGTACTTATTGTCAGACCAAAATTCCATACGTTGAAATTTTAATCGATGGAATAAAACATCTTTTTTATTACAATGTTGCAATATAACATTTTTACAATATAATAAATTGTTTATTTAGTTATGTCTTCTTTTTTTACAATAATACATATACATATATAATTGAAAGTAACAATTGAGCGCATAAACACAAGCCGAACATTATGTCATATAAAAAAACAAAATTATTTAATGTTACGTCACGTTGCATTTTTTATTTACAATTCTAAATACATAAAAATCCAGTACCTACCAAGGTTCTTGTCAAGTCACAAATAAAAGACATTGAAACATATTCATTTCTACACCTACTTTTTATCCCATAATATATCAATAACATTCATATATTATTGGAAGTAATATATAATAACATTGTTTTAACATATATGTAATATTGTTAACATATATAATAATATATAATAACATTATTAACATTGTAATAATCACAAAAGTCTTAAACTAATTAGAATCGTATCTGTCGCATATTTGAAAAAAAATATCTCTTAAATGTAATAAGTTGACTACCAATTGCAGTTACTAAATAATGGGAAGTACATGTAGAGAGATGTTAGTTTATTGTATCGTGATCAGGGAATATTTTTCTCTTGGATTCGATTAAAATCAACTTTATTAACTAATTGTAAGGAACATAGAACTTGTAATAACGGAAACGAAAACAAAAGAACACACATCCCACACACACATAGTCACACTTCCACCTCTGTACACTGCACCATCCACACGCATGCAGGTTCATGTATGACCACTGTATTGCCCAATAAGAGAGATATCTTTCATGATATTAATTGTAAGAAATAAATATTTTACTCTAAATATCAATGACAGATTACAAATTTAATATTAACATGTTAAAATGAAGCAGGTTCTGCTAATCTTAATCTTAACTTTTATCGAACC